GTGCAGATCCTAAGAGGGAGTGACTACCATGAATGGTGGTGACCGGCTGCTGGAGGCGTCCTGAGCTACTGCGCTGATCCAGAGGCCAGGGTTCACAAAGGGAGAGACCACCGGAAGGAAGGCAGCTAGAGGCCGAGCTAAAGGCTCCCGCCCCTGTCTCCCGGAGGAGACACGCCGGACTCGGCCACACAGGCCACCCCAGGTGGCTGTAAGTCTGGCCCTTCGTCTCCAAACCAAGAAGGAGACATTGTCTCCTCTCGAAGACCCATCGGTGTCCTGGTGGGTAAACTGGGGGAGGAGCCACACAGGATAACATGGCACCCAACATGGGGCATGGCCTAAAATAGGACCGCCCCCGAAGAGAAGAGTTGGACCACAGGAGTGGCCCAGATTGTCTACAAGAGCAGGAACTGAGAGTTGACTGCTCAGTGTGCTAAAAGAGAGCCANACAGAGTTCCTGTCCTCTCATCAGGCCTGTCCGAGGCCTGCTTCAAGGCAGTAAATCTTGTTTCTTCACTCGAGGTGACCTTTACAAAAGCAAGTACAGATGACTTGTTTTTGTGCACACTGAGAGGAACTACAATAAATTTTAGCTTCACTGCTCAATCATGAGGGTCATTTTTAGCACAAGCTCCATGTCCACTCTACATAAACAAAGATTAGTCTGGTGGCCCACCAGCCTAATAATACACCAGGGTAATCCCTGATAAACATATTTTCAAGCTAAATTGGGTAAAAAATTCTGACTGAATGGCCACTTTGTTTCATCTGAAGCAGGAAACAAGCAGAAGTGGGTTCCTCTGATGATCGAGGTGAAGTCTGAGGGTCCCAGGGAGCGTTCTGCCTCCAGGAACAACAGTAGACAGAACGAACACCCCCGCCTGCCTCCCAACGCCAGGAACGACCTCAGAGGTCAGTTCGTGATGTCATTTCCTGTTTAGGTTGTCGCTGCCATGWAGTGTGAAGTTGTGAAGCTTAAACAGACATGTCTTACTGCAGTGTTTGTGAAAAATCACTGGTTTACAGTTCRACTAACCTTAGATTTACAGTGTCTGCTGGGGCTGCGTGATGCTGGCAAACCCTGCCATGTGTGAGAACAGTTGTGATATGACTTGTGTTACATGAACAAATACATAAGTATATAATGCTCATGTTTTCTACTCTGTGTTCAGAGGAGAGAAAAAAACTCAAAACAAACAAACAAAAAACAACTAATTTTCATTCCAGCATGATTAATTTTTTAATATGAACAGATCCATCCAATTGGCCAAAGACCTGAAGGGCTCCATTTGATTGGTGAAATACTTCCACGCTTCTGTCTGAGTGACAAAACACATAAATGCAAACTTTTAATGCAGTTTATGTAGTTTTTTGCGATATTCTTATTGCACACAGGCTGTTAACGCAATGATGATAAATTTTTGACATACTGAGCAGCCGTAGTTTCTGTTCAACTCTGCAGTTTAACACTTTACAGTCAGTGGGAACATTTACACTACGCTATGGCAAGTGCAGAGTCCATCGAACCAAAGATCACACTGCACCAACAGGAAAATCAACTTGCACAACATCCATATTTTCAAAATAATTCACCAAAGACTGACTACATTTTCTTAGAGGGATGCCCGATTAGTTGTAATTTGATAAACAAATATTTTAACTGTAAAATAAAAACTGTAAAAATAC